ACCACCACCACACCTCTCTACCACCACACCACCACACCTTCTACCACCACCACACCTCTACTACCACCACCACACCCTTCTACTACCACCACCACACCTTCTACTACCACCACTCAACACCTTCTACTACCACCACCACACCCCTCTACTACCACCACCACACCCCCACTCACTCACCACCACACCTTCACTACCACCACCACACCTTCTACCACCACCACCACACCTTCACTACCCACCACCCACACCTCTACCACCACCACCACACCTCCACTACCACCACCACACCCCCACTCACCACCACCACACCTCTTACCACCACCACCACACCTCTACCACCACCACCACACCTCTACTACCACCACCACACCTCTACCACCACCACCACACCCTCTACTACCACCACCACACCCTCTACTACCACCACCACACCCTCTACCACCACCACCACACCCTCTACTACCACCATCACACCCTCTACTACCACCCACCACCCTACTCACCACCACACCTCTACTACCACCATCACACCCTCTACTACCACCACCACACCCTCTACTACCACCACCACACCTTCTACTCACCACCACCACACCCTCTACTACCACCCACCACACCCTCTACTACCACCATCACACCCTCTACTACCACCACCACACCTTCTACTACCACCACCACACCCTCTACTACCACCACCACACCCTACTACCACCACCACCTCTACTACCACCATCACACCCTCTACTAACACCACCACACCCTCTACTAACACCACCACACACCCTCTACTACAACCACCACACCCCACTACACACCATCACACCCTCTACTACCATCACCACACCCTCTACTACCACCACCACACCTCTACTACCACCACCACACCCTCTACTACCACCACCACACCTTCTACTACCACCACCACACCTCTAATACCACCACCACACCTTCTTAATACCACCACCACACCCCACTACCACCACCACACCTTCTACTACCACAACCTTCTAACCACCACCACACCTTCTACTACCACCACCACACCCTCTACTACCACCACCACCACCACCACTACCACCACCACTACCACCACACCCTGTCTGCTAAAGGTTAAATATGTAAATAAATTATCTATCTGGGACGTCCAATACATTATCTATCAGTCAATCTATCAGGGGAAATCAATACACCGTACATTATCTATCGAGAGACAGAATGACAGGTAACTAATGAGACTGGGGAGACAGAGTGACAGGTAACTAATGAGACGGGGAGACAGAGTGACAGGTAGAGAAAGAATGACAGGTAACTAATGAGACGGGGGGACAGAGTGACAGGTAGAGAGAATGACAGGTAACTAATGAGACAGGGGAGACAGAGTGACAGGTAACTAATGAGACTGGGGAGACAGAGTGACAGGTAGACAGAATGACAGGTAACTAATGAGACAGGTGGAGACAGAGTGACAGGTAACTAATGAGACAGGGGAGACGGAGGACAGGAGACAGAATGACAGGTAACTAATGAGAGAGGTGGAGAAGGGACAGGTAGAGACAGAATGACAGGTAACTAATGAGACGGGGAGACAAAGTGACAGGTCGAGACAGAATGACAGATAACTAATGAGACAGGGGAGACAGAGGACAGGTAGAGACAGAATGACAGATAACTAATGAGACAGGGGAGACAGAGTGACAGGTAGAGACAGAATGACAGATAACTAATGAGACAGGGGAGACGGAGGACAGGTAGAGACAGAGTGACAGGTAACTAATGAGACGGGGAGACAGGGGTGACAGGTAGACAGAATGACAGGTAACTAATGAGACGGGGAGACAGTGACAGGTAGAGACAGAATGACAGGTAACTAATGAGACAGGGGAGACAGTGACAGGTAGAGACAGAATGACAGGTAACTAATGAGACAGGGGAGACAGAGTGACAGGTAGAGACAGAATGACAGGTAACTAATGAGACAGGGGGAGACAGTGACAGGTAGAGACAGAATGACAGGTAACTAATGAGACGGGGAGACAGGTGACAGGTAGAGACAGAATGACAGGTAACTAATGAGGACAGGGGAGACAGAGTGACAGGTAGAGACAGAATGACAGGTAACTAATGAGACAGGTGGAGACAGAGGACAGGTAGAGACAGAATGACAGGTAACTATGAGACAGGTGGAGACAGAGTGACAGGTAGAGACAGAATGACAGGTAACTAATGAGACAGGTGGAGACGGAGGACAGGTAGAGACAGAATGACAGGTAACTAATGAGACAGGTGGAGACGAGTGACAGGTAGAGACAGAATGACAGGTAACTAATGAGACAGGTGGAGACGGAGACAGGTAGAGACAGAATGACAGGTAACTAATGAGACAGGGGGAGACAGAGGACAGGTAGAGACAGAATGACAGGTAACTAATGAGACAGGTGGAGACAGAGGACAGGTAGAGAACAGAATGACAGGTAACTAATGAGACAGGTGGAGACAGAGG